TAATGCTACTGTAGATATAAAATTTTATTATTTATAGGCAAAAATTATGCTAAATGGTAAACATCTTCGTAGGATACAGTAATGCAATGTCATAATAAGAGTATATTGACTTGTTTTGTATCTATTTATCATTTTCTCTTTATATTTATTGTCTTCTAAACATTTCAATCATCTAATCTGTAAGCATTTTCCTTTGTTTATAATACAGTACAAACCTATATACATCAATCCTTATGTTGGCTGATGCAATACTGAAGTTTATATCACAGATAGGTGATATGTGGGATAATATATTTATACAAATCGCACTACACTTTTGTAGTAGAGAGAGAGAGGTGTTGTTAGTGTATGTTTCTCTGATGTTTACGCTACTATATTCCATGATGCTGTAGCGCATTGTGTGTGTGTGTTGTGTTGATGTGTGTGTGTGTAGTGTGTGTGGTTGTTGTGCAAAATCATATTATCTATGTAGTGATGTGTGGTATGTGGTAGTGATAGTATTATGTATGTATGGTTAAGAGTTATGTAGTTGTAGTGTATGTTGTGTGTGTGGTGTATGTGTGTTTGCATGATATATACGTCCTAATATTAATTCGTCGAAAATTAATACACATATGATTATGTATACAGTGAGTAGCTGAGACATTTTAATATAATACTATTTTATATCTTAAAATAAGATGATAACTGTGTATGTACTAGATATGTGTGTGTGTGTGTTGTGTTCTATATGTGTGGTGTGTGTGTGTGTGGTATATGTGTGTGTGTGTGTTGTGTGTGTATTGTGTGATATGATGGTGTGTTGTGTGTAATGTTGTGAGTTAGTATGTGTGTGATGCTATGTGTGTGATGATGTGTGGTGTGGTGTTTGTGTGTGTTGTGTGTGATGTATAGTGTAAGTGTCTGTGTATTTATGTGTGTATGTGGTGTGTATTGTGTGCATGTGTGTGTATGGTCTGTTGACTTGTATGTATTATAGTTATGTATATGGTGTGTGTATGTATGTGCATGATGTATGTAAGGTGCATGTGTATGTGTAAATATTGTGATGTGTGATAGCTGTATGTATGTTGCATGTGTTATGCTTGTGTGCTGTATGTGTGTGTGCACGTGTATGTGTGTGTGTGTGTGTTGTATGTGTTGTGTATGTATGTGCTTGTATGTGAATACATTGTGTGTATGTGTTGTGGTGATTATTAAATGAGTACTGTGTGTGTGTGCCCATGTGTGTGTGTGTGTGTGTGTGTGTCGTGTGTATGTGTGTGTGGTGTGTATGTGTAGTGTGTGTGTATGTGTGTGTTTAGGATGTATGTGGGTGTATATCGTGTATATAAGTGTGTGTGTTGGTATTACACTACTGTGTGTATGGTATGCTGTATGTATGTGTTGTGCTGTGTGCGTATGTATGTGTGGTTGTGTGTGTGTGTGTGTCGTCCGTGTGTGTTGTGTGCGTGTTAATGTGTATTGTGAGTGGTGTGTGTGTTGTGTGTGTGTGGGGTGTGTAGTGTGTTAGTGCACCTTGTAATGTGATACAAGGGTATGTGTGTGTGTGGTGTGTGTGTTGTGTGTTGCTGTGTGTTACTGTTAGTGTGTGTGCTGTATTGTGTGTGTGTGTGTTATGTGAATATGTGTAATGTGTATTGTTTATAAGTGTGTGTGTATGTGTATTGTCGTCTGTGTGTGTGTATGTGTGGTGTGTAGTGTGTGTGTGTGTGTTGTATGCTGTGTTGTATGTGTGTGCACTTGTGTGTATGTTCTGTGTGTATTCTGTGTGTGTGTCGTATGTATGTGCATGTGTATGTGTGTGTTGTGTGTGTATGTATGTGGTGTGTATGATGTGTGTGTGTATGTGATTCATAATAGAATATGTGTGTATGTTATAATGATGTGTGTGTGTTTATATGTGTGTGTATGTGTGTGTAATAGTATAAATAATATATACATGATATTGTGTGGTGGTTTGTGTGTGGTGTTGTGTGTGTGTGTGTTGTGTGACCATTAATACCAAGATGTGTGTGTTGTGAATTAATATTGTGTGTGTGTATGATGTGTGTATGTGTTTAGTGTGTTCGTGTAGTGTGTGTGATATCATATAATATTTGTGTGTGGTGTTGTCGTGTTAATGTATTGTGTGTGTGTCCATATATAGTGTATATGTGTGTGTGTGCTGTTGTAGTGTAGTGTGCTGTATGTGTGTGATGTGTTGTGCTGTATGTGTGTTGTGCCTCTTTCCTTAATTATAATGTGTGCTGTACGTTGTGTTTCGTTGTACGTGTGGGTTATGTGTGAGGTGTGTGTGTGTTTGTAGTGTTAGTTTGTGGTGTGTGTTTGTGTGGTGTTTTAGTGTTTGTGTATATTCTTATGTGTGTTATATGTAGTGTATCGTGTGTGTGTTTGTGCTGCTGTGTGTTTGTATGATTGACTAGTGCTTTGTGTGTGTGAGTGAATATTATTCTACAGTATGTGTTATGTGATGTGTGTGTGTGTTGTGTGTATTATGTGTGTGTTAGTGTGGTGTGGTTAGTTGTGCATACATAATTGTTTGTGTGTGTGTGTTGTATGTGTGTGTGTGTTGTGTGCTATAGTGAATTATGATGTTTGTTTGATGTGTTATGTTTTTTGTGTGTGTGTGATGTGGCCCGTGTATGTATGTATCAATTAGTGTGTGTCGAACAATGTGTATTAGTTCAGTGTGTGTGTATATGTGTGTTGATGTGTGGTGTGTAGTGGTGTTGAGTTTGTGTGTTGTGTGCATGTGTTGTGGAATATGGTTTTGTGGTATGTGTGTGTTTGTGTGTATGTGTGATATGTGTGTGTGTGTGTTTGTGTGGTGTGT